TGAGCACACAAAGGCAAACAGAAGATGTACAAGAATAGGCAGCAGAAGAGACGACAGAGGAGGCCGTGCCGGTATATAATTTGTCCATGACAAGGCTCGAGGGGCAGACGAGGGCGTTGCAATTGCTTTGCTTGTTGCTTGCCATTGTTTAATTGTTAAACATTTTTTGTGCGTGGGCATGTTGTCGCATTGTGCGATTGTTTTATGCTTGGCAATGTGTCTCTGCGTCTGTGTGTGTGTGGGTGTGTGTGTGTGTGTGTGTGTGTGTGTGCTGTAGCTGTGTCCAAGCAAACAAATAAATACAGGCATGTACAAGCGAAATAACATTTGTCTAATGAAAAGCGCCGCGCTCTTGTCTGGCGCACTCCACACAACTGCCTCTTCATTCTCCACTTTGTCATTTGCCCCGGCTCCTGCTTTCAATATTATTCCATTTTCGCCTGCGTCTTGCTTTTAGCTTGGGCGCTCGTGCGAAGGACGCGCATCGCTATTTTTAGCTTATTATTATTTTATTACTATGTATTGGTAGACGTTGAGCAGGAGGAGTTTTCACATGTAGAACTGAAGCGCATAAAGCACAGGCCCAGACACAGGATACAGACAAGTTTTCTACAAATAACCCAAATATAATGGGCAAATATGAATTAATATGCTAAAAGGACTAGTACATACACAGACATACATACGAGTACATGTACGTATGCCAGTTCCTGTATCTTATCGGAATGTGATTTATCTGAGTTGAAGTCGTTTGAATAAGTGTCTTGTTTTTCGCTGTACGGGTCGTTAAGGCCCTAGCGTGTAACAAACGACTTCGTTGCTAGATAAGGTCCTGACACTTCTGTACTCAGGAGGGAGTTTAAAAAAATCAAATTTATCAATATGTTAAAATATGTTATCAATATGTGAATGTAAGTTCTTCACAATGAGGACTTTCGAGAGAGTTTAAAATAAATATATATATTTAAAGTCGTCAATTGCACTCTACTTTCAAATGTGAATAAGTATATAACATAAAAGTTCATAGCTAGTGCTGTTCTATATTATTTAGGAACAATTGTGATGTACCACTTTCTTTAGAATCAGTGGCCAAATCACTCTTAGTTATTATACTGCTGCTTTGTTTATAAAATTGAAAATTGTGGAAAAAAAAACTTGCGATTATTTTAGATTTCTCTCTCCGAAGTTTAAGGAAATTTTCAATAACAATTAATTGGTACACTAATATAAAAAATCAGTATTTATTACACAATACTTGCTGACTTAACAATATGTTAATTGTAAAAGCCAATTGTAATGAAAAACATTTGGAAGTAATCCAAACATACATATGTTCATTTCCTAATAATTTTAATTACTACCTACTCATAAAATATAAATTTGGCAAATAGGCTGTGCTGGAAAGTTGTGGCACTCAATCGTGCTTGTTAAATGTAAACTATCTTAGCCACAATCCAATCAACGAAATTATTAAATTGTCTATTTTGGTTGGCCAGCGCAAAAGCGAAAAATAATTGTGTCGATTTTAAGCCCATTTGCAAGTTTTGCAATTCCACAAAAACTTTGCGTTGCTGCAGCTGTTGGTGCTGCACAGACAGCACCGATTTGCATGCCAAGAGTGTGTAATTATGTATGTATATCTGCCACAGAAATATCTACGAACATGCTGCGGTTGTTTGCCTGTCATGCCACTGTCACAGTCGCACTCAATCGCACAGCTGCCATCAAGAAACAAGGAACAACTCAATGTTTTGCTGAAAAGTATGCTACAACATTTTCAAGTATGCTGCCATGCCATTCCCTGCCTCTGCCACTGCTCCGTACTTGTTGTTGGCTTTGTAAACTTGTGTATTTTAATTGAAAATTGTATTCACATAAAGTTTTCTAAACTGAAAACGTAATTGTATGGCGCGCGACGCTAAGCCATTGCCAGGAAAATCGTACACATATATAAACTGTCAAACACATACATGTGCACATACTCTAACTATATAGTACATTGCCAGCTTAAGTATATAGAGATGCACCCACTAAGCACGTTGCTTACATTTGCTGCAGTTGAGCGAGTGTCAAGGTGAGGCTGGCTGGCAGACAAGCAGACAGGCTGGCAAGCAGGCACTCAGGTAGAAATCAGCTAAAAACTTGGCAACAACGGCAAACGAAAAATAAGAGAGAGACCATGACTACACAAGCCTACATATATTCTACTGCTGGCACTTGGCCAAATCACGTAATCACGACTTGTTTATACTGCACTTACATCTAAACACACACATTCCCATAAATGTATATTAAGACAGCTCGGGTACGTCTGTGATTCCTACAGAGGTCATTCAATAGAATCACTTAAACACTATTTGTTTATTAATTTTATTTGTATTTTTATTTTAAAATGTGAACATGCAATTTTTCTTTGTTTATACAAGTAATATGGTGAAAATAAGTTTAATATATTTTTTCGACCAAATCGATGTGTTTTAAAATAATAAATAGCATTAAAAAATGAATTTACCTTAATATTTGATTAATGTATTGGCGTTGACACATCCTTCTCCATCTTTTAAAGTAATAGCTTATTTACTTAAGTCTCAACTATACCAAAGATTGATAAATTTACGTGAAATTTAGCAGATATTGTTATTGACAACATTATACTAATACTTTTAATTAATTTGTTTTCCCCAGTCATTTATTTAGATTCTAATTTTAGAAGCATGTCAACGGACGTTCACAATCCACATCCAACACTACTTGTAAAACGTTTAAACTTTTACTCAAACATCTAGTGGCATTCTATATTGTATTTCAAATAGCTTAATACTGCACAAAATATAACAAATTTTATTTTATTTAGTTTAATTTTTGTGGTAATTATTGCAGTTTATTTTAATTTAATGTCAATGCTGAAGCTATACCTATGTTATTTATATTTATTTATATGGAGAATTCGTTACTTATCAATTGGAAAACAATATTGAAGGTTCCTGCAGCGTCAAAGCGTCCTATCCTTAGTTCTTTTTTATTTCAATCAGTATATATTAAGAATATACTAAATAATTATTTGGATTGTTCAAAATTTAAGATTAAATTAAATTAATTAAATAAATTTCATAGATTCCGTAAAACCCTGCTGCTTTATAAAATGTGGAAATATGAACTGAATCTACAATATCAAATGAATTTGGAAACTGCATCTTGAGATTAAGATGTTTCACTGTACTCTATTTTGTGCTGCCAGCTGAGATGTCTGTGTGCAAAATATAACATTAATTTCAATTAGTGTGCAATTGTTTTACATTTACACTTTTCTACTCGTTAGCTTTATGGCTGGCTAATTTGACGAACGTATTGCATAACAATAATTGTTACTGCATTCTATAGGGCCATTGTTAGCGATCGCTTTAAATTTTAATTAATCGCTTACTGCAACAGCAGCACGAAAAATAGAAATAGAGTTGAACGAATCGTTCGCAATGCGCAATTAAATATGATTTGAAATCCGCCACTGCTGCGGGCAAATACGCAAAGCACAAATAAGCCCGCAAATTATTGCATACCACAAGGCGCCACTTGAAAATCGTTGCTGCTGAGCGTCGTGTGCCGGTGCCGGTGCCGTGCGTCAGTTGTAAACCGAGTGCCACGCCCAGTGTTGCTGTCCCTGAGCTGGGAGTCCGCGCTGTATTTTTACCGTTCCATTTTTTCTGTTGCCGACTGCTCTTTCTCTTTGTCACACATTTAGAGATGACGTCGACGTTGACGTTGACGCCGACGTCAACGTTAACGTTAACGTCAACAGCAACGTGGACATCAGCGCCCACGTTAGTGGCACGGCTCTTGGCATTGTGCTTTCAATTAAATTGCAATTTGCGTTGATATAAAATTGTTATTGGCGTAGTGGTTCGTAGTGAACTCGTATGTGTGTCGGTGCAGGCATGTCTGGCCGTAGGGTTTGCATTACGCGGCCACCACAGCCAATCGAATGAAACGGTAATTTTTACGATAAATGCAGTTAAAGTTAATTGCACATGAGCCCTGTACAGAACCCACACACACACATATACATACATAAGTGTATATATTTTGTATGCATATGTAGTGCGGTGTATACGTTGGAGGCACATTATTGGTTTTTTGTTATAGCTATATTGGAAAGTCATCGAAAAACAGTCTAGTTTTTTTAAATGTATTGTTAAAGCAGGTAGTTGTTTTATGTCCGACTGAAAATAAGGTCTGAATAAATAGGGAAATGAAAAATGTCTATATACTCGTATATAATAACGACAAAGCTTTCTAATAGAAATGTGTGTAAGTACATATATACGAGTACACTTGTATATTATGCTGGTATACGAAATATCATATCATAGTTTAATAAAAACTGCAGTACTACTTATCTTAAATAGTAAATATTTCTAAAACACACTGTGCTGATAAAACGACGCTAAAAATATTTAACTCTATGTGTAATTGTTTAAATTTACGTGTGGTGCATAAAACTTTTCAAGTTTGCTATATCGATTTGTCTTATTCTTTGATAATACACAATAATCTAGTCTTATGTAAATATTTGCATAAGGCGGCAAGAAAGTCTTTATTTTGCGCAGGTATAATAAACTTTATGTTTGTAATTTCTTAAGTTAAAACATGTTTTTTTTTGTAAAGTAAAACGGCTTAAGATCTCTGCAATTTATTTTGGTATTTTTCTTTAAACGTAAATTTAATTTTTATCAATATTTTTGAGGAAAAATTAGATTTAATAATCGTTCCTTATTTCAAATCACAATTTCAAAGTTTTAATATATATTTTTAAAATGGAATAAACCCAACTTTATCGCATAAATATTAGAAATTGGATGATAAACTATCCAGCCATGACCGCTACAGAGAATTGTATTGAGTGCGTCTGCACAATTTTGTATTGTCGATAAAATTAAATTAGTTTACGAAACTTTATTTGGTGGCAAAATTCCAATGCTAAATACAACTTTTCTCATTTGCAGATGTGCGCGCTGTGTCACACGTTAAATTATATACATAGCCTTCAACTATTGCCGCTGTCTGAGCATATTGCTGCAACTTTTTATACAACAACAACAACAACAAGAGCAACTGAAGCCGCAACAACAAAATTAACGTCAGTGATATGGAACTGTGCATAGCAACAGCAACAAAAACAAAAACAAAGCCAAAAGCTCAAAGTTCAATGCATCAAAGCAACTATCAAAAATGCCACCAAAATCAAACGAATACTCAAATAAATACCAACAACAACAACAACAAAAACAACAGAAGCAATTGCTATCACAACAGAGACCACCTGAAAAAGCAACATGAAAACCAACGAAACGCAACAGAAGCAACAGCAACAGCAACAAAAGTTTTATCAACAAAAAACAGTAGTAACAGCAACTTCAAAAACAACAATCCAAACCACAATTGTTGTTCCCAACTGCACATTCTCCACTTGCTGTTGTTGTTGTTATTGCTGGGGCCCCATCCCGCCCTCAGCTCGCCCTTTGAGCACGCCAGCAGCAGCAGCAGTCGCAGCGCCTTGTTGGCCTACTACAAGCGGGCGCAGCTGCGACAGAATGCCAATGCGAATGCATACGAAGCGTCGCTGCTGCAGCAGCAGCCTCCTAGTCTGAATAGTTACAGCAATAGAAATAGCAACAGCAACAGCAACAACAACAACAACTATCAGCTGCGGAATGCAGCCTCCTTTGATTTTGAAGATCTATCGCCCACGGCTAGTGTAGTGTCCGCATTGAGCAGCGTTGAACGTCTGCGCAAGCGCAGTGCCACAAGCACAACAACAACGACAGAAGCACCACCAACAACAAGAACTGCATCGATTAGTCCCACGGCCAGTCCAAAAGCAGAGGAGAAATGTGAACCCAAAGTGCTGGAGGAGGTACCGTCTGAGCCGGTGAGTGCCAATTTGTAAATACAGCATCCAAATTCATCCCCTTCTTAGGGGGAATATCTATCGAGAGGGAGGGGAATAAAATTAAATGAGTATATATTAAGGTGTGACCGCCTTTTGATATATCTGACCAAGACAGAATTTTGACCATTAGAGGAAATCTTTGTGCGATGGGCTTCAAACGCATTTTGTATACTCTGCTTGGGCATTGAAGAACATTTTTCCGGAGTGCTTAATTGGGGGCTTATTTGTTTTCTATCCTGTACTAATAGAGTATTAGAAATTTCCCATTTGCTCTGGCACCGTTTGAATCGCGATTAGAAAACCAAATAGCTGGATAAAGTTATATAGGTCAAGCAATTACATAAATCCAAAAATTAAATGTTTTGTGTTGTCAAAAAAAAAAAAGCAAGGATCGTCAATGCCAATGTACGTTTTCAATATGGAAATTGACATTAAGTTATTTTTAATTGGGATCTTCAAACAGTTTGCTACTTAGCTGCTTGAATAAAAATGTTGAAAACCAGTTGCTTTAAAAATAATTAGGCAAACAGTTTCATCTTTTATATTTTAAATATCCATCTATTTCTATAAATATTATACTTGTACTCATTGAACAGTTTCATTCTTAAATCGGTTAAGTAGACAAATAATGAAAATGCAAGATTGTGACATAACTTTCAAGTTCGAAATGTTATTGTTAATAAATAATGAAAATCTTAATAATCTAGCAAAACCCAAAGGGAAGAAGTTCTTGTAAAAGACATACATATATTCCAGCCAAGCTAAAAGCTATATGTTCTCTAATATAAAACCTCTTGGCGAAAGTAGGACTGCTATAAATTTGGTGTCGAAAGAATTAAGTATTTTTATTTCTCTGATTAGCAGCCAAACAGAAACCAACCAAATTTCCGGCACTGAGTTGTATATGAAGCAAAAAGAAGAAGAAGAAGAGCGAATTTGATGCTGAAATTGTTCCGCTAATAATTTTTTTAGAATTGAACAATTTCGATTAAATTTGAAACAAAAATAGATAATTGTATACAATGAAACTCTGTAGCGGGGAAAAAAATAAAATAAACTCGTCCTTTCTCGGACCTAGGAGCATCTGGTTACCAACTTTGGTTATTCCAGCTTTTAAAGTTTTGAGATCCTCGCATTCATACAGACAGACGGACGGGCATGTCTAGATCGATTCGGCTCGTCATGCTGATAAGGAATATAGTATATATACATTTTATGGGGTCGCAGATGCTTCCTTTTTCATGTTACTTTACACAATCTTAATAATACAATTTTACCCTACGGGTACAGGGTATATAAATGCATTCGTGATGGAACCATATTTTATTTGAATAATGTTTCCTAGTGTGATCATAGGGATCGAACAAACCTGGATTATTAATGGCAAGGTGATCGATTATCATTCTAGATATACATACAGATATGTTTTGTTTTTCATACGCAGCCGTACAAAATATACATCTATTTCTGTAAAAAGTATACTCATTAGAAAGTCTCACTCTCAAAACGGTTAAATAGACAACTATTTGGTCCAAATGTGACATTCTATATTTGTAGGAATCAAACGGGGAATACAAAAATAGTATCCAATAAAATCAGTTGTCATTACAATTGTGTTTCGATGCATACAATATAGTATAAGAGTAGCGCGGTGGCATTATCTGATAGTCCATGGATATATATATAGCTTTACGAACGATATTTTTAGGGGTGTTTATTTATAAACTGGAACAATGGAAAGCGAATTAAATGCAACCTTCTAAATTTAACATTTTGAATTGTTAATGGCAGCATGAAAATTTGCATTGGGTTGTGATTAGGCTGTGAGAAAAAGTGCAGCCTGCACCCATACACACAAACAACCACACACATACACACACACACACACAAACACACACATAATTAATGTGACGTGGAAATTGCCAACTTTGGCATTGGGTTGACGGTACATACGATAACTGGGGCGACCCCTTTGCCTCCCGTTTAATCAATAAAGTTCCTGCGATGTTCCAAACTGCTGATTTAGCAGGAATAGCAGTGGCATGTACCGCAGCCCCCTCCCCCCGCCCTCTCTGTAAGCTGACAAAATTGTGATTTTCTGCCGCTTAGTCGTAAAAATCTTGCGCATACGCCGTGTGAGCCACAACGTGCAAGACGCAGCGGGGAGCGAGAGACATACCTAGATATCGAAATAAAATACACATTCTTTTTGTTGCTTTGCTAAAAGGGGTTGTTGTTGTTGTTGTTGTTGGTGTGTTTGGAAAGTCTGGCACATGAACCGCAGGGATTTAGGAATTGCAAAGAGTTGTGATGCTGACAGCGTGACATACGCGTGCGTGTCTATATATAAAACAAATGTACATATACTATATATATGTGCTTGTATATGTACATATATATAATGTGCAAATATAGCTTACAACTTAATTAAAACATGCTAATGAAGTGGGCACGAAACAAAGGGAGGGGCACGCTGCCGCCATTTAATTGAATTTGCATGCGAAGAGCCTTAAAGTAACGCGAAAACGCGAATATGCGCCTCCATTTGTTGACTTTCCATTAGTCACATGCGTGGGTCCACACCCATAGGCTCAGGCTCCGGATCCGGCTCAGTCTCAGGCTCAACGAGCGTTCGAGTTTGCTATTTTTAACAATGCAACAAGTAAAAATATTTATTTTGTGCGCAGGCGGTTTGATGAAAACAACACCACACAAAGGACTCTGAGGTAATTAGTTAGACTTATTCCTTTGACTTATAAATATCTTGCACTCGGTGTAAGGCGTGCTCAACCTTTTCTCAGATGAACAAGTTTCATTTGAATTAGAATACTGGCATTTTCCACCATCTTAAAGTTTTATTTTGAATATCATCTGTGGTCAGATTCCAAAGATAGCTAAGATACAGAGATAGCTGGAGAAGAGGGTTCAGTTAAGAACACAAAAGACGAAAATTAGTGTCAATTACAAAGTCAATTGTACATCTATTTAGAAGAAGAAAACAATATCTATTGTTGAGAAACTTAGACAACCTAAGTGGCAGAGGAATCCAAAACCCCCAACAATCAATTTGTCAATCAAGAACAGTTCTTGGATTTGTCAGCAAAGGATGGTTGAGATAATTAAGAAGTTTAATTAAGAAAAGCCAGAATGTGGAATTGTTTCTAAGCCGACTCAATTCGATTCTAAAGCATTAAGCATCAAGTATTCAAGTACAGGAATACCAGAGTACAGTAGCTTCGTGATATAGGGATTATTTTATTTGTTGTGCCAACGTCTAACCATTTAGCCTTGCTTACAATAGAAGAGATGTGAAGAATGGAATCAAAAAGTCCTCCCATATCTTCGACTTTAATAAACGTTGTAATAGTTCGTATAAGTCGTAAAAGTGACTGTCGTCTGATCCGATTAGAAGTCATGTACACGATCATGAAGAAGCTAAAGAAGCTGTCAGGTGGACCCAATAGTAAGACAGGCTAACCCTTGGCATTGACCATTTCATAAAAACAATTCCTTACAACTTTTTAATTTCTGAAGGAAATTATTATTTTTTTAACTTTTTAATATATTAACATATGCTTACAATTCTTAATATCTTCACATATAGTTTACACTTCCAAAAATCTTTTCAAATAGTTTTTTGCACTTCTAAGCTAGGAACGATTAGATACTCTTTTTTGCCGCCCTCTTTTAAACGCGCCTTATCAGATATCTTTACGTTTCTCAGTAATACCATATGCTTTAATTTTGTACATGATTTGAACATTAACGTCCACTTATAATTATTCGGTATTTACATATATGTATGCATCGTAAAATTAGTTATTTTCATATATACAAGCATCTTAAAAGTAATTATTTACATATATACATACACCTTACAATCCCACATTTAGAACCGTTAAGATTCAAGTGGCTTACCAAGCACCACCACTCAAGAATATGGTACACTATAGCTAGACTCCATGAGTATAAAAAAAATGCAAAAAAAAAATAGAAAGAGCCCATTTATAAAGACACTTACTAAAAAAGCACCAATATGATTATCTTGAGGTACGCCAGAACTTACTTAAATAAGCTTAGTTTAATTACTCTAATCGATGAAAACAATAAACATTTTCCATTTATTGTGGGGGCAAAAAGTCAAGGTGAGAATGTTTCGAGTTATTTAGTAAATGCAAATCTGAACTAACACTGTATCCTCTAAGGCCTTGTCAGAAAAATTGGTTCTCTATTTCAGCAATAAGGCCCTGGATGCTCAAGTGATTCCATATCATAACATTGTAGGTATAGTCGGAACCAATAAATTCAAGAATTGAAACCAATCCTTGAATAATGGTTTTGAAGATTATTTATTCTTTGTATGGTTTCAAGTAGATTGCATTTTTTACCAAGGCAGGAATATTTCCGCTCTAGCTTTGCAAGAAAGTGCAAGATAAATCTCCTAATCCTTCAATCTTTAATAATGTTTTGAAAAGTCACGGTTTTAGACAAATAAATAGAAGATAGTATCTTGGTGGTATTTATTTGCACATAAACCATACACTGTTGCTCATAATCATCACACAACCCACAAATGATTGCGTAAATGCTTTTATATAGAAATATATAGTATATATCGTGCGCACGATTATGAATGTACGCCAGCACTCGCAAACAAAGCCCACTTATGACGTACTTGGATCGATGGCTAACGTCGTTTATTCCTGACGTAACAATTACTCAGCGCCAAGAGCGGACTCTTGAAGCGTTTGGCCCTGCTTTTGCTGACCAGCTGGCAGTACACACGAATAATTAAAAGGCATGATTCAAAAACAAAAAACAAAAAGCAAAAACACAATAAGCGGCAACAAAAGCTACAAAAAATGGCAGGCAAATTTGTAAATTGCCATCAAGGTATTTGACGAGCCTGCAAGCACCAGATTTTTATCTTGAGTGCGAGCCACACAAAATATATATAATAAATAAAATGGCGCACATGT